TTTGTTTTTATAATAAAACACACAAAAAAATCGTGCACAGAGTCTTTGTAATGTTTATTATATGTGTACAAAAACAAAAGACACAGAGCGTCTACAGTAATCCCGTTGTAATAAACGCCGCATATACATCCTGTCTCCTTTGGTATGATGAAGGAGCGATTTAGTCATGAGCGTTTCGTTGAGTTTGTCGGTCGGATTAAACGCGTGTTAGACGACGTTTCAAATTTACGCGATCCCATTAGGTTTTTGTTGAGTCGGTCGGATTAGCACTTTTAATAACACCAGAGGGCTGTCTTACGCAACCCTGTTATTAAATTGTTTTTTTTCCCGTAGAAACGGAACATAGGGTCGGTCGGGATAAGAGCCAAAGTAAATGAAAATAACACCAGAGGGCTGTCTTACGCAACCCTGTTATTAAATTGTTTTTTTTTCCGTAGAGACGGAACATAAGGTCGGTCGGGATAAGAGCCAAAGTAAATGAAAATAACACCAGAGGGCTGTCTTACGCAACCCTGTTATTAAATTGTTTTTTTTTCCCGTAGAAACGGAACATAGGGTCGGTCGGGATAAGAGCCAAAGTAAATGAAAATAACACCAGAGGGCTGTCTTACGCAACCCTGTTATTAAATTGTTTTTTTCCGTAGAGACGGAACATAAGGTCGGTCGGGATAAGAGCCAAAGTAAATGAAAATAACACCAGAGGGCGGTTTATTCTTACGCAACCCTGTTATTAAATTGTTTTTTCCGTAGAGATGGAACATAAGGTCGGTCGGGATAAGAGCCAAAGTAAATGAAAATAACACCAGAGGGCGGTTTATTCTTACGCAACCCTGTTATTAAATTGTTTTTTTTTCCGTAGAGATGGAACATAGGGTCGGTCGGGATAAGAGCCAAAGTTAATGAAAATAACACCAGAGGGCTGTCTTACGCAACCCTGTTATTAAATTGTTTTTTTCCGTAGAGACGGAACATAAGGTCGGTCGGGATAAGAGCCAAAGTTAATGAAAATAACACCAGAGGGCTGTCTTACGCAACCCTGTTATTAAATTGTTTTTTTCCGTAGAGACGGAACATAGGGTCGGTCGGGATAAGAGCCAAAGTTAATGAAAATAAAACACCAGAGGACTGTCTTACGCAACCCTGTTATTAAATTGTTTTTTTTCCGTAGAGACGGAACATAGGGTCGGTCGGGATAAGAGCCAAAGTTAATGAAAATAACACCAGAGGGCTGTCTTACGCAACCCTGTTATTAAATTGTTTTTTTTCCGTAGAGACGGAACATAAGGTCGGTCGGGATAAGAGCCAAAGTAAATGAAAATAACACCAGAGGGCTGTCTTACGCAACCCTGTTATTAAATTGTTTTTTTTCCGTAGAGACGGAACATAAGGTCGGTCGG